AGTGCCTAAGTTCTGATTCAATCCCCAGGACTGGCACTCATATAAAATGTTATCCTTCCTCTATGTTGTAAGTTTCATTTAAAGATTCTGCTAGCCTTCAAGGCAGAAACCTATGGATCATCCAAGGGCTCGTCTCCTTTCAGTCTCATCTCCAATATAATTCTGAATAGGTCTGCTTTCCCAATTCCTCCCTACATCATCATAGTCTTAATCAGCACCAGATCCCTGCCCTTGTCTCTTTGTTCTTTTCCATATCTCCAATCTTGCTCTTTTAAATGAGTCTCACTCTTGCCAAAGCTGTTTTTCTGAATTTTTTAAAAAGTGTCCAAATCCTTTAATATCAGATATCAGACCTATAAACTTCCATGAACTCATACTCTGGCTCTTAAGACTTCGCTCTTGTCCACAAACATGGTAATTCCCATGCTTTTTTGCTCCGCCAAGCTTGCTCTCTTGTCCCTTCTGTCCTAGCCACAGCATTCTTTCATCAACCCATTGATAACCAGTTCATCTTCCCAGGCCTCTCTGAAGCATTACTCCAAGAAACCCTCTTTGCAACCCACTTCTCAGAAAACCAATCAGTGTGCATGCTCTGAGCCTTGTATCTGCTTCTATCATAGCTCCTACACCACTCAATTTAGTTGTATCTTTACATGGTCCCTTCATTCCTACACTTCAAGTTCCTTGAAGGCTACAGTCATTGTATCTTAATTCCTCATGATAAATTCAATGTCTGCATTACTCTGTTCAGAGCTGATCACTAGAGGGGTGTACCAAATTAAGATTTATTTAGGAAGTTAATAATTTGAGGAATGTTCAAAATTAAGACATATTTCAAGGTGTATAAGTGGGATTTAGGAAAAGCAAGAAGGGATAAGTCTGAACTTGGAAAATAACAGAGGAAATCCGTTCTGAAATGTAAGGACAGGAAGTCATTACAGAACCCAAAGGAAGTTGAATAGTTGAAGCTGTTCACAGCTTTGGAGCTGTTTGCTTTTCTAAAGGGATGCTGCCTAAAGTCAATCCCATAAGAGTCCAAACAAGGACAGTAAATAATCCCTGCCTGACAGACTCCTCCATATTCTGAACCTAACTTAGAAGCCAAAAGAAAATGCACACAGGCCATTTGTGCAGTCCATTACAGTTAGATTTGGGGGAGGGAGAAGTCCCAAAGCATACTGGAACAAAGAAAACTATATGGTATAGAACTTAAAGGAGCTTATAGGTCTTAATCATTTGATTAAGTGGGGCTGAGAGGGATGGGGGAGAATTATAAAAGGGGTGACATTAATCAAGATCCCTTGTATTCATAAACTGACATGTTAAAATGAAACCCCTATGTGCAACTACTTAAAGAAAATAAAAATAATATAAAATAAGTTATTGTTAAAAGATTAAAAATTATGTTAATATAAGATGATGCTAAGCGAAATGAACTCCAAGATATGAAAATATTGTTGTTTTTAATGTACCATGTGAAGTTATTTCTTTTTTCTTGTGATTTTTTTCCTCTATCATTTGTCCCTTTTTGTCACTGTATTGATTTTGGTACCTTGTGTATTGTATATAAGTTTATCTGAATTAAGGAAGGGAAGGGGAACAACAAAATGATAAGACAAAGGGCAAAGGGTGAACTAATGAAACAGCGATACTCACAAGACAACAGATTGGAAATGAACTTTTACAGTTTGGGGGAGGGATAATGGAGGGGGAGGGAAAGTGGGAGAAAAATGAAGAAGGCAGTAACAATGTATAACAAGAAATGTACTCACTATCTTTGTAATTGTAACCCCTTGTGTACATCACCTTGACAACAAAATTAAATTAAAACAATAAAAATAGAGCAAAGTGCTCCCCAAATCCCAGTTCATGGTTAAGATGAAACTTGTCTGTTCAAAATAAGAAAGATGTAATATATATAATTTTAGATGTCTTTGCTTTTAAAATCCTGAGATAACAAGGTTTTGAGTGGTGACACTATAAACAAAAAACAATTATGTTAAGCTGGGTGTGGTGACGTGCATCTGTAATTCCAGGTACATGAGCATTGTGTTAAGAAAATGAAAAGTTTGAGGACAGGCTGAGCTCTATAGTGGACTCTAGATCAGTCTGAGCACCTAGTGAGATTTTATCTCAAACAATAGTTAAGGGGAAAGAAAAACAACAACCTGGGGATCTAACTCAGTGGCAGAGCACTTGTCTAGCAAATATGAGCCCCTGAGCTCAATCTCTAATAACAAAAAAAAAAACACTAAAATTTTCTTTTACAAAGGATTTATGTTGAGCAAAAATTCTTCTAAGGTTTGCTCATGGACTTTTGAAACCCCTACAAAACAGACAGGAAAGAGTTAAGCACAAATGCTCTGAAATAGCATTTCTGCCAGCTTTATGCAGGATTATGTTGTGCAGCCACTTAGCTGCTTCAGCAGAGAAATGCTTTAAAGGGAAAGAACAGGAAGCACTGGAGAGAAAGGTTTTTGTCATGATTCTTGGGAGGAAAAAAAATGAATTCCTGGTGGTGTTAGCCAGAAAGTGGTCCTTTCTGACAAAATGATGATGACAGTGGAGGATGGATAAAAAAAATAAAAAAAATTAAGAAGGGCTGCCCATAAACACAAATAAACAAGCAGATATAGCCAGTGATTGCTAAGAGAATGCCAGGAGTATAGGGATAAAGAGATGTGACTTTCAGTGATAGGTAGAAAACAGCAACAGTAGCATGACTAAGAGAGAGAGAATGGAGAAATAAAGTCAGATAACAAGGATTTACTGCTAGGAAGGCAGGCAGCTGTATCAGCAGGAAAATGAGCTATCTGTAGAAGGAATCTGTAAATCTACTACAGAACTCATAACACTCGTGAGAGGCTTGGAAGAGCAGGTCTGTCTGTGTGGAAAGATTGGCCAGGAAATGACAGCCTGCCAGCCCACAGGATGTGCGAGGACAATGTCAGCTCCCAAGGAAAACAAGAAAACAAGAACAAGCCACGAGAAGAAATGGCTGTGGGCTACATCTCATCCACATCAAGACTAATGAATTCCTAACAATTAGAGATGCCTTTCATTAACTGTTACATGGACAAATTAATTTCTTGGCTAAACTGATTATCATTTCTACATTCTGTGTAAACAGAACTACTTGCAAATAAATCAAATAGTTGATTAAGCTTCTAACCCCAGGTGGTGGAAATAGCCTACTGAGGTTATTGTTTATAGAAGAAATATATGACTTCATACTGGCCATCAAAGAAAAGTATAAGAAGTTGTGTCATACAGCTCAAAAAATGTGGACATAGCATGTGTTCATGCCATCTCCTGCTTAGGTTCAGTCTTTGTCTTTCCTCTAAAAAAAAAAATAAGGTGATAATGATGGTCTCTTCTCCAGAGTTTTCTCATAAGGATCAGAAAAGTTAAGCCATTTAAATTATACTTGGTTACACTGTTCAAAAAGAATTATAACCAATATACAAGGACACGTGCACCTCCATGTTTATTGCAGCACTGTTCACAATAGCTAGGATATGGAAACAACCCAGATGCCCCACCACAGATGAATGGATCCAAAAATTGTGGTATCTATACACAATGGAATATTATGCAGCCATTAGAAATGACAAAATAATGGTCTTTGCAGGTAAATGGATGGAGCTAGCAGGAATCATGTTAAGCGTGGTAAACCAAGAGCAAAGAGACAAACGGTACATGGTCTCCCTGATAAGTGGATGCTAAATCCAAAATGTTAGGTGATACGACAAAATTAACAGGACTTAAGAAACAAAGAACTCCCACTCATCTGGTCGAACCACTACTAAATATCCTCATGCTGCTGATCACATGTATGGTGTATAACATGTGAACACCGTTATATGTTATAGACTGTGATAGACAATTTGCTCCAGGAAAGTTAGAATGAACTTGTGACGTTAAATGAGCATCATTATTCCACAAGACTGTGAAATTTGGGAAATTATGTATCACTTAATCACAATTAAAATAAAAAACCTCGGTGAAGGTAGGGAGGGAAGGGATGGTAGAGGGAAAACAATGGAGGGGATAACAATGTTCAATTGCCTTTGTAGGCAATCTGGACTGGAAATCCCTGAGCCCATAATCTCCCAAGAACCACCAAGAAGCTAGAATTGGGACTGTGGCCCAACTGGTAGAGCACCAACTTTGAGTGTAAAAGCTAAGGGACAGTGCCAAGGCCCTGAGTGAAAGGCCAATCCAGGCACACACTTCTTAGAAGTGCCTTCTAGGCCAGTAACTTGGTGGCTCTGACATCACAGACATCACTGTGAGGTCATAACCCTGGCTGTATATATAGGGGGCAGTGCCGGGTGGACTCTCTGTAGGTAGTTTGGAGGTTGGAGTTTAGTTGGGTGCTTGTGTGGTGATTTCTCGGAATTTTGGATTTGGTTTGTTGACTTGGCTTCGGTTTTTGGTTTCTTGGATTTGGATTACGATTTGGCTTTGACGTTTGGACTTTTGGTTTATTTTTTTGCCTTTTTTGTTTTCCTGTTTGTTGTTTTAATTATATTTTTTTATTTTTTCTTTATATTTTCTTTTTCATTTTTACTGTATTTCTTTTACTTTTATTTTAGTTTTTGTTTTATTTACTTATTTTTCCTTAATTTACTATTTTTTTCTTTTACTTTTATTGTTTTCAGTTAGCTAGCATTTAGGCATTTTGTTCATTATTTTTCATTCCTATTAGATTTTGTTTCACGATAGATATTAGATAGTAGTTATTTTATTCGTTTATTATATTTACATTTTAGTGTGTTTATTATAGTTATTACCTTAGACTTTGCTTACATTTTATTCCGTTATAATCTTTTATCTTGTATTTCATTATATTTCATTGTATTTTATTATATATTTTTCCATTTTGTCCATTTCATTGCTTTTGTTCTGCTCTGTTGTATTTGATTACACTTGGTTGTGTTTTCTTTCTTTGTTCATTCACTTGCTCCCTAGACAGCATCGCTAGGGTGCTGTATAGGATGACTAGCCAGAGTAGAGAGGCGAGGTTCTGGGAGGGCCATGAGGCCAGTACCTCGAAGAAGGACCTCCTCAGGGCTCACTACCAGGTGCTGAGGACCATCCGTGAGGGGGGCTTTGCCTCCATAAAGTTGGCCAAGCACCTGCCCACGGACACCCTGGTGGCGGTGAAGGTCCTCGAAAAGTTGGACAGCACCTTCTTTGCCACCGAATTGGACATTCTGAGGTCAGTGGAGCACCCCAACATCGTCAAGCTCTATGAGGAGGTAGAAACAGAGGAAAGGTTGTATTTGGTGATCGAGTATATGGACGGAGGAGACCTTGTGGACTACCTGGACAAGGTGGACAGGCTGGCAGAGGACGAGGCCAGGGGTCTGTTTAGGCAGATCCTGAGGGCAGTCAAATATTGCCATAACAACGGTATTGCTCACAGAGACCTTAAGGCAGAAAATATACTGCTAGACAGCAGGGGCACAGCCAAGCTATGTGACTTCGGATTGAGTACGTGGTTCCTGCCAGGGCAGCAGCTGGACAGAGTGTGTGGGACTGTGGCCTATCTGGCCCCTGAGATGTTCAATCACGAGAGCTACCAGGGCCCCAAGGTGGACGTCTGGAGCCTTGGGGTGCTATTGTACTATATGGTCATGGGCGACTTGCCCTATAAAGGCAAGTCATGGGATGTCCTCCGAAAACAGGTTTTAGGGGGTAGGTTTAAAATACGGAAATCTTTTTCCCCTGAACTCCAAGGAATGTTAGCATACCTTATGACGAGTGATCCAAAGAGGCGGCCCACAGTGTGGCAAGTAATGCGCCATCCTTGGTTCAAGACAATTAAGGGAGCCTCACCATGCCCCAGCCAGCCTGCTCTGAACCAGCCAGACCCTGCCATACTGCATATCATGGTGTCATACATGGGATTTAACCCCGAGGAGGTGCGGGCAGCCCTGTCGGGAAGAACATTTAATAATAAGAGGGCAACCTACAGCATGCTCAAGGAGCAGCAAGAAGAGGCCCGAGACCTGATCCGTCCGATGTGGTACCCGCTTCCCGGGCCTCCACCTTGCCCCTCACCTGCACACCCGTCCTCCCGAAATGTACTGGTCAAGAGAGCCAGCGCTCCTGTGCGCCACCCCGCTGTCTCTCTGCATGCTAAGCAGCAGCAGGAGGAGGGTGGCAGGCACACCAAGTCGGTGTCCCTCCCCTGTCTCTTGTGGAGACCCAGCATAACTGGTACAGAGCAGAAGACTGAGGGCAGCAAGCCTCCCTCTACTCCAGCTGCAGCAACAAGAGCAGCAACTACCACCCTCCCTATGGGCCAACCGGGGGAACTGACCTGCCCAGCCCCTGAGCAGGAGAGGCAGGTGGGCCTCAGGGCTAGTTCTCTCCCCCGCATCCTATACAATACATGGACAGGGCCCAAACGGAGGAAGAGGGACATCGGCTCGGCTGCCCCAGGGCCAAAAACATCTGACCTGAAGGGCCCAGGGGGGGACACAGAGGAGAGTAGCCAGCTGCCCCCAGAACCACCAGCATCCAAAATGTCTGCCTTGAACATACCTCTAGAGAGGGAGGACAGCACCCCTCCTCTCCCGCGCCCTGCAGCTAATGGAAGAGGCTCCATCTGGAAGCGACTCAAGAGGAGGGTCTTGCGTTGCTTTGAAAGGATGTGCTGTTGCTGCCTGCCCCGTTAAGGACAACCCCAGAGGAAATGCCTTGCCCCTGTGAGTGAAGAACACCACTGACTGCCTAGAAACCAGAGCTCAAGTGCACCAGCAGAAAACCCATCACCACTGCTCCTCGCCTTGAACACATGCTGCCCACGCCTGCAGACCAGCTTCCTTCTGCTGCTACCTCCCACGACCATCACAGGCTTCACAGACTTTTTCTCTTTGTGTGTGTGTGTGTGTGTGTGTGTGTGTGTGCGTGCGTGCGTGCGTGTTTTGGCCTACATTGGGTACCGTTTCTAATGTTCCTGTGGTTCTCACCATAAATTGTGATTCCTGGAAAAAAAATTATACTCATTATCTGACGTGTAACTGTAACCTTCTGTACATCACCTTTCCAATAACTACACATATATAAATATAAATGTTTTAAAAATTATACCTGGTTAATGTATGCTAATATAATGGCGGGTACTCTTATATTCAAACCCTAAACTATAATTTCTACTGGTGGCTACTATTTATTTGATTTCCATATGGTTTGGGGAATAAATATGAAAAAAATGAGATCATTTCAAAGATAATAAATGATAACATATACAAAATATCATTAGAAATAATAATTCATGATCTATGGGTATTAATTTAAAAAGTAGTTTGAGCTGGGTGCCAGTAGAACATACCTATAATCCAAGTAGCAACTCAGGAAACTGAGATCTGAGGATCATGGTTTGAAGCCAGCCCAAACAGGAAAATTTGTGAGATTCTTCTCTCCAATTAGCCACCAAAAAGCCAAAAGTAAAGCTGTGCTTCAAATGGCAGACCACCTGCCTTGAGTGAAAACGCGAAGGGACAGCACCCAGGCCCTGAGTTCATTCCCCAGAATTAGCACAAAGAAAAAGAAATAGTTTGAAGATGGCAGTTTTTAGGTCAAGAAGCAACACCTACCTTAGATGGTCACATCATCACATAGAATTATAATCAGATAGTGGTAGCTAAATGTAGAACATTATTTTGTGAATTAACCAAATATATATCAATACACTATAATTATATAAAAAATCCAATTATTCTAGTTTTAGTTTTATATTTTCTTGGGTTAGATAGTTTTTTTAAATAAAATATAGAATAATTTATGTCACCCAAATCATGCTATAATTGTGTAAACTATATTTCAGACACAAAAATAGTTCTATTGAGTTTCTTCAGAGAATATGCCATTCTTCCTACTGTCTCCCTGCTGGAAATCTCTGGATAAAAAAATAAGAACCTCAATGTTGCTAAATGGGAACTAATTATAAAAAGGAAGGTTTTTATAAGAAAAAGTATGCTATATTTCATCTTCATAAGCACTTATTCCATTAGGCATAGCTTTGAACATGTGAAATATACTGCCTCATTTGAATTTCAAAACAATGCTGGTATGATTTCCAACATTACACATGAAGTGGTTAGACACAGAGAGGACAAAGTACATGGTAAATCATGACACATTGCTCACATACACAAAATGTCTTTAGCCCAGCATGGTGGCTCATGCCTATAATCCTAGCTACTCAGGAAGCTGAGAGTCGTGGTTCCAAGGAGCAGAAAAGTCCTTTAGACTCTTATCTCTGAAATAAGAGGTGGAGCTGTGGCTCAAGTGCTAGCCTTGAGCAAAAAACCCTCAGGAACAGTACCCAGACCCTGAGTTCAATCCCCAAGACTTCTACAAACACACACTCTCACACACACACACACACAAAATATGTCTTTTGAAATACAAACATCTGGTTTTAGCTACAAAATATATAATTCTGTTACCTTCTAACAACACATTCTTGCTCATGTTGCCTTGCTGCCTGTTTACTTTTTCTTTCCTTGTAGCTCTGCCTTAATAATTTCCATGACAGAAACTAAGGATATCTTCTCTGTATTCCTCAGCATACCCACACCTTAGTGCATCCACATTCTGCTACTGGGGTTTGAACTCAGAACCTTGTACTTGCTGAGCTTGCTTGCTAGGCTGGTCCTCTATCACTAGAGTCATACCTCCAGCACAACTTTTCAATGGTTATTTTGGAGTTGGAATGTTGTGTACTTTGAACTACAATTCTCAGGATCAAAGACTTCTGAGTACCTAGGATTACAGGGATGAGCCTCCAGAACCAAGCTTCCATTAGGGTTCTTCAGTCACTATTCACAGCTACCCTAGGACACTATCTAAGTTGTTTTATTTTAAGCATCTCTATGTTTCATGGTGGTTCTTAGTTCAGTTTTGTATCTCCTGAATCAGTCAAAATGCCTAGCACTTAATGGCTGGCCTAGTATTTTTTAATTGCAATAAGGAAGAATATGCAATGTCTAGTTGCATGGGTATCAACCATCCACAGTCATAGACAGGGCCAATTCAAAAGTCTAGAAAATATGCATTAATTCAAATGAAACTAAAGCCCCTTCTGTTCTTGGCTTATAACTTAATTACTAGATTTAGTATTGTCAGTACTTCATGTGTCAAGTGCTAAGTTGGGTATTGAAAGAACTATATGCTCTAAAAGTAAAAAAAAAGTTTGTTTCCAGTTCACAAAGAACAGATCGTCTAATGGGAAAAATAGAACATGCACCAGGCCATTACAAATAAATGTGATAAGGACCATCACAATAAACTCTAAATTTATTAAAAAGTACTTCTAAAGGAAGTACATTGCACTGCAGTGATTTAACAGTACTTCCAAGAAGAGGAGGTATCTGAATTTCACTTGAATATACAAAACTCTAATTGGTATAAAATAGCATTTCAAGAACAGAGACAAGACTAAACATAAACATTAGAGATCAATAATAATTTGAGATATTAACTAATATTTGCTCCATGCTCTTCTTTCTGTTTTTCATTGCCTCTCTTCCTTCTTGCATAGGATATCATAACATGCAAGGAAAAGCTTTTGTATTTTCAAAAATAATTTTAAATGTTAGGCTTTTCTAGTGGGAGGTGCTAAGCCTTGAAACATTCAATACAAGCTAGGATCAAAGTTTGTGTTTTTATAAACAAGGCACAAAGGACCAGATCTCTCAAAATCAGACTATGTAAAAATTTCACTGGCCAAGAAAAACAGAACTTCTGTGATACTGACAAAGACCCAGCCAGAGCAGCTAGCACATAACTCAGGCCTTGGAAGAAGACAACAGGAGCCATTCAGCAGGCTAAAGGAACTTGGGCTCAGCTCCACCCAGGGGAAAGTTGTCCTTCCTAGGCAGAGAAAGCTCCGCCCATGGAGGAGTGACTTCCTTCACTGGGTAAACAGAGCCAGAAGCTACCTCTCCCCACTGCAACACAGAAGGTAGACCTAGCTGCTGGAGGGTAAAAGACAAACAATTGGAAACTCAATACACATAAATCCTGAGAAGGGCTCTAGGCTGGGCTGTGTGAGTGTTTCAGGAGCTAGCCCTTCAGGGAAAAGCTACTGATTGCAGACAGGCCTCAGCCCTACAGATAACCTAGCCCCATCACAACAACTCCAAGCTAGAGGAAGCAGCCATCTCTCTCTCTTATAATACTCAAAGCAGATCGACCTCCCACTGAACTAGCCTCCTAGGAGGGTCATAAAGTCCCTGGTAAGGCAGAACTTCCTTTTGCTTGCTCAAACTGATTTAAGAAACCAATCAAGCCATAGGAACACCAAACATCACAAGCAAGCCAGAGACTACCAAGAGACTGGTTAGGGATACAGGGGAGAAACTAGATCTGCCCCCAACAACAACAACAAAAAACAACAAAGAACTATTTTTTTCTACATAACTTTTAATTTTAAAAAATGTTTTCTATTTTTTCATCATTTTTACTTTAGGTTTTTTTTTAAATTCTCCTTTTACTCTTTTCCCTTTTGGTCCTTTTTGGGTGTTTTGTTTTTTGTTTTTGTTTTTGTCTTACTTAATTGCTGATCAGTTCATCTCCAGATATATATATCCGTCTTTGATATTTAGACCTTATCCTTTATTCAGATATAACTCCTCAGCCATAACTCCTTTAATTGCAGTATTATTTCTTTATACTTATATAATTTTAAGTGTTTCATTTTTAAATTTTTTATTTTTCTTTTTTCTGTATCCCTCTTCTTCCCTTCTATCCTTTTCCTCTCTCTGCATTTAAGTCTTGGTTATATTCCCTCTCTCCTTTTCCCTCCCAACATTCCTCTAATCTTTTTTCTCCTCACAATTCTCCCTAAACCTATTAATTTCTGGTCTGCTGAGTCCTTCTTTGATTTTCTTAGTCCATTGATCCCTAGCTGTTTGTTGTTGAACTAGATCATATCTATTGAAGTAGAGTGTATCTGTATTCATTTTGATTGTATCAAACAATCTGTGCAACTACAGGTTTCTGGTTGATGCTCACCTTAAAATAGTGTTCTAACATGGAATTGGTTTTGCATTCATACCCAAATAGGCAGAACAAGCTGGAGAAACACAAGAAAAATGGGAATTCCAGGTATCTCAACTCTCACTCATAATAATCAGGCAACAGAGCAGTTAATGAATAATCCAGAGGAGAGTTCCCAAAATGCTCTACAAACACTACTGGTAAGCATGCTGAATGAAAAGATTGAAAGCCTGCAAAGGACTCTGTGTGAGCATTATAGAGAAATACTTGAGCATGATGAGGCTAACCAAAGATTAATACAGGAATTTTGTAAGCATGAGGAGGCTAATCAAAGATTCATTGAGGAATTGTGTGAGCAGGATGAGAATAAACAAAGATTAATAGAGGCATTCATGGAAGCCACAAAAAGAAAGCTGGAGGAATCCATGCTGGCCACAAGGAATGCTGAATGAAGCCCAACAGAAGGAAAGGGAGTCCAATGAAACTATAACCAATCAACTAAGGGATCTGAGAATGAACACTGAAGCCAAATTAAGGAGGTAAATAAGTCCATATAACATCTAAAACAAAGCTCCAACAAAGAATTTGAAGCCATCAAATCTGACCAATTAGAAGGAAATGAAATAAAAAACAAAGTAGAAAGCCTTTACAGTAGGTTAGACCATGCAGA